AACCCTCAAGGTCAACAAAGTTCAATCGCCACTTGGGAAAAAAACTCAAAAGGGTTGTGCTTACCCGCCTCTATTGGCTACCACCCACATTTTATATACACAATTACCCGAAACTGAAACTAGGACAAGCATCAGGGACCACAATCGCAGCTACGAGCAACTCCCTTCCCTTCACCTCACCTGTTTCAGTACAGTTCTGCTCCAAATTAGCTTCAAAATGTAGTATAAGTAATTGTGAAAACGTTTGAAAGAGCGAACTAACCGTATACCCATTTGATGATGATGGAGGTATGTTAGGCGGCGATGTGAGGGAGCTCGATGCACCTCCTGAATGAGAAGTTTTATCATCCGACAAAAATTTCAAGACATTTCAAGGGAGTAGACATCGTTAGGGATGAAACAAGGTTATAGCAACGTAGCTGACTTGTGAACTGTGTGGTTGTGTTGTGATTTGAGGTGTGTTGTGAACGTATAAGTTAGAACTGTGTTCTTATAGACGAAAATGAACGGTGCTCAAAGGTTACAGTCACCCTGGCTTCAAGCTGGTAAACGAGACGATCTGGCAACACGTCCATGCTTAGCCTGAAGCCATTGATAGGCAACCAGTGGGCCACAAATGGGAAGTTTTTCTTTAACCAACGCGATGACTATATCCAAGAGCTTGTGGTAGGCGTATGCAAGTGGAATCGAAAACGAGAGAAATTGAGTGTGCGTAAAAAGTTCAAGTGCGGTTGTCTCAAAGTTTTGCAGTGATTAACCGGTGCATGAAGTGACTGTTTTCAACACTGTGGGCGTGATTAGCGTGCTGATATTGCAGTGCAAGTCGTGGTTCCATTCTGCTGCAGAATTTTCCGAATATTTTGTCGTCAAGTCTTCGCGGAGCACCAGAATAGCCAGAATGAATCCTCCAATGTGATCGTTAGTCATTCAACACAGTGCCATGTGTGGAATAAATGGCACACGAACCGTTCACAACCACTGCTTCAACAACCTCCACTACATCATCCATATCACCGTAAATGCTTTCTGCGTAGATTGATTGTCGTCTGCTTGGACGTCGAGCCACAGTTGCTTTTCGTGGTTCGAAAAGTACTGGCATATTGGATGTAGAACTGTTGAGTGAGTTGAATGAGTCAACTCGAGTAGGTTGACCCGTTCTGGTTCCTCTTGGAAGGGTTGAGCAGAGGCGAAGGGGCGACTCGACAACAATCGAAGTTCCACGTGGTAGTGAATTGTATTCATTGTGTTCTGTAAGAGCATTCTAGTAAAAGCAAAAGCATCACTACGACATCAACTTATGATTCAAACCACATATTTCCTCTCTGTACTCTAACTATAACGGTAAATGGAGCCTATAATATTGTTCATGATTTCTGGGCAACGTTCTCTACTATGTGAAAGACTAACTCATTGGTTGCTTTCATAGTCCGCCGTCCGGCCCGCGAGCGCGCGAGCGACCGACCGACCAGGGGCGGGGCTTGCCCCGTGTTTACAACTGAATCTTGGTTGATACCGCAGGACGAGTAGTTCCCCGGCCGGCTCGCGCTCGCTCGCGGACTATAAAAGCAGCCATTGACGACCGAGGGGAGGAGAGCAAACCGTTTGGGCTCGCAGAACGGGCTACCACTTCTTTCCTACGTTCTAGCGCCTGGTATTACAGAAAAACGGTGTCCCTTTAATCTCCCCAATTACATTTGCACCACGAAAACTTAAATGTAAAACAGAAGCACCTAGCCAAAATTAAAGAACCAAAATAAACGGTAGCCAATGAGTTAATCACTGAATTCAAACAAAAAAGTAAGCATAGCGAAACAAAACGAACAAATGATTTTATCCTATACGCATGCAAAGACCGGCAAGCGAAAAATGGCTAAAAATAATGGTAAAGCAGTAGTAAAGCAGCACCGAGCCTGCAATGCCTTTTATAGTTAATCACGTCGCGATTGCAACAATGGGACAGGATGGGTGCAGCCGACCTCGGCCGGATGGGGCGTCATGCCATCTTTAATTTTCCTCACCTTACCGTCCCCGCCGGCTGCACCCACCTCGTGCCTTTCAAAGCAAACAATACTCCGAGAAAATGAGTGACAACCTATTTTGATGTTCTGATAACTTACGTCCAGCAGTCGACCGAGCCGGCGAGTTCGTTTGTGCACCGTCGTAAGCGTCAAAAGCCGACACTCGTGAAGTCGGACGTGAAGTTTCTTCTCGAGTACTACGACGCATTGGCATCGGAGGTAATTCGTCACTAGATCGTGAACCAGCTTCATACCGTCGCATTGGTGGTAAAGGCGTTGCCTCTGCCGCTGCAAGAGAACTCAACGATGCAAAATTGAAAATGTTAACCCAACAAAAAAATCAATTATTGCATCACATACGAAGGTAATTCAAATGATTAACTTAGAATGCTTGCAGTAAAAAAGCCTGCTTAAACAGAATAGCCGAAACCATGCTCAAGTTTCGATTCAACTTGGAGTTCCGTCTCACCGTGGTAGGCGTACGACTTCAGTTGATTGCTAGGAGCGAGATCAGCATGGAACTTCACTTTGGCTACCCATTCGAGCATTTGTCGCTCGTCGCTGCAGGCAAAAATGTATTCTGCACCGTCTTGGGTTGCCAACCTGGAAAACAGCGCTCAAT